TCGAGTCTGCAATCTGGGTCTCAGTGAATTTGCTAAAAGAAAGCAGGAAAGATCAGACTAAACCTGTCGGCACGCCCCTGCCCCCGGCCTAGAGCGGCAGAGGTGAGGGTGGAGTTGGCAGTGGCGGTGTGGCGGGCGGCACGTAATATATGCAGCAGTGGCCTGAAGCCCCACGTAGGCTGGCGCTGCGGCCCCGTCTGCTGACCTCTGCGTGATCCCGGACTCTATGAATTATTGATGAGATATGAGCGTTGATTTCCCCTTTCAGGATGCAAACTCCATTATATTGTTAAAATGGCGATTTAATCGTTGAGAATAGCTTTGGTGTGGGTTTTTTCCCCCAACTCATTTGCGCCTCCTTCCTTTTCATTTAACTCTCTTAATTAAATCTTTAACAGATTTTAATCACTTTTTGGAGGGAGGGGTAGGAGGAAGGGGAAGGCCATAACACCATCATTGCCACCAACAACAAACAACACTAAAACAAAACAAACCAAAAACCGTCAACAGTTTCTACCTTTAGGAAGTTGAAAGGAAGGGGGGGTGGGGGCGCTAACCCCTCCAGAAAGATCACTTTGGGAACACCCACCAGAGATAGAGCATGAGGGGCTGGGGAAATCGTCCAGAAACAAGGAAGAGTGGAGTGGGGACTTGAGAGGTGTTGAATTCCGCAAAACCCCCCTCCCACCACCACCACCAGGAGACTTGAGTGTGGAATCCTACTATGGAGACTAGGTCGTGCTTACCCTTGCCGAGAAGTCCAGTGACTTCGAGCTTGGGAACAGCCACAGGATTCTTGTGGGGAGTGATTCTCCAATCTGGGCCTCAGGGACACTTATGGAGAAAAGTCCATTCTCCTTAAGGGGCCCCCATTTCTCTCCTCTCCCTCCCCCAAACAGCTCGGTTTCCAGGCGGTGTCTGGGTTAATTAATATGGATGTGTAACAGCACTGAAGCAATCGATAAATCCCGCTGTAGGCAGATCTCAGCCTCAAAATCCGATTACTCTGAGAAACTCCAAAAATGGGGATGGTAACCAGAGGCCCCTCCCCTGAAAGATGGAAGCTGATTCTTGCTAGCTCTGTCTTCCAAGGTTGGCCCAGTTGGTCCCCAAGCTGGGAAGCCCATGCAGGGGAGATCAGTCCCAGGGAGGGACTGAGTTTGGGGGCATGTGCTGAGCGGTCTGTCTTCTCCTTTGCTCTGAATCCTTGGCGTCCACCCCAGCATTCAGATCTCAGGGATAAAGGAACCAGGCAGAGAAAGGAGCTTCCTCATGGACCTGCCCGTCATGCCCCACTACCTTCAGTGGATAACTTCCCACAGCCACTGAAGGGTTAAGTGTCCCCACCACAGTTATGGAGAGGAAGTCGATGAAATATGGGCGCTTGGAACTCCAGGCTGGGCTGGCTTTCCTGTTTACACTTCTTTATACTTCCTCCCACCCCGTGGCCACAGAGAAACAAAACAAAACAAAACAAATAACCAAATAAAACAAAACAAAAAAATCAAAATCGAATTGTTCACTCAGTGGTGGCCAGGCTGGCCTCTGAAGGAAAAGGGACACTGCAGCCTTAATGTCCGCTGCTGCCTCTTGGGGCCTGCTCCAGTTTGAGGATTTGGCCAGAGGGTGCTGCGTGCGGAAGGCTGAAGACTGGACTGGCGAGGAGAGGAAGCGGGTGGAGGGGAGGGAGGGAAGAGTCCTGGAGACAGTAGGGGAAGGCTGGAGGTGAGGGCACAAGTCTGGGGCAGAGGAGAGAGTTCTTTGCCCCAGAAATCTCTTCACACCTCTCATCACCTCCCCCGAACTGTTCTGGTTGAGATTCAGGGAAGGCAGTTGCCCAGAGAGCCTGAAGTGGGGGAGAGTAAAGCCCAGGCAGGGCATCTTCTCTAGGATCTGCTTAGAGCAGGAGGAGACCCTCCAAGAGTTTGGTCTTTCAGGCGGAAGTGGGCACCCCCACCCGGGGCTGCTCTTTGCCATTCCGGAAAATCTGTCCAGATATGTCCAGCAGATGTCCCCGGGCAGCCACCCCTACACACTCTTTATCAGAGTTTGCAGGACTGACAGGCGAGGGGGCAAAAAGTCTTCAGCGGCAGACCTGGTTGTCTGGGGTTTCGGGCTCCTGAGAAGTCTCTGAGAGAGGGAAGCAGCATTAGAGCAAAGCTAGGGGCATGAAAGGAATGGGGTTCCCCTGAAGGCCCCAGGTAGGGCTCCCCCTTGCTGTGCTCTTCCTCTGCACCTCTCTCAACTCCTTTGCCTTGTAGAGAGTGGAAGACTGTGGAAGCCATGCCTCCAAAATGTGTTAGCATTTTAAATGGTGCTGGGGATTTTGGGGGAGCTGACCAGAGTCTCCTTTCCAGGGGATACAAATGATCCGCCATTCTTAGGATAATGTATCCTCCAACCAAGGTGAGGACCCCAAGCTCTCTGTCCTCTCAGTCTGCTCTCAAAGACTGCCAAGAGTCTCCTGTAAGTCAGGCTTGGGCAGGGAAGGGAAAGCTCAGGGAGTAGAGCATGGCACAGGAGAGAGAGAAGAGGGGGAGAGTTCCAATGTCCCTTCATGGGAAGCCTAGGGAATCTTGTGACCCCTTCCTTGTCCCAAAGATCAGAAGCACCTCAAGGTGTAACATGTCCAACCCCGGGGGCTATCCAGAGGAGGAGCTGGTGAGCTGAACCAAGAGATGGCTTGCCGGTGAAAGCAGGAGTGACAGGGTAATTGCCCCCATGGGTTTTAAAACTGGGGGAGTCAATTTGGTGGGGAAGATGCCTCTGGCTTTCAGAAGAAGGGTTACTTTTCCTTAAGAAATAACAAACTCCCTGGGGGTCAAATCGAAGTCCCTCTGGTTTGTGGCACCACAAAACAAAAGGACCTTCTAGGGTCTATTGGGGAAAGAAGAGGAAAGGAGAGGAGAGAGAAAAGAGCACCTGTCCAATTTTCTCTCGCAGCTCTCGAGTTTCTTTTTTTTTTTCCCCCCCCTCCTGACAGTGGGGGTCTGTGTTATTGAGCAGATTTTGTTTATACATTTTTTTGCCAGAGATCTACTTGAACACCTACCACCTCTAGGCCAAGAAAGAAGCTGTCTCCTCCCCTCACTGCTGGCCAAGAATTAGGTTTTGGATTGGAGGGGATTGTCCCCTCTGTCCTTTCCCCACTCGGAACTCAGGATCCTACTTAGAGCCAAGGAGAAGGGTTAGCTGGGGACCAACAGGATGAAGCTCTGTGCAAAAGCCCTGTGCTCCCCACCCTAGATCACCGTGACGAGGCTATAGAGAACTGGAGGGACCCCATTTTATAGGGTTCAAATATCTGAAAGCCAGAGAGCAGCCCAGGGCAAGGCAGCCCACGGCAGCTTCCTTCCCCTTCCCTGGTGATTTTTCTCAGCTCAGATATATCCAGATAAAAGTGCCAGTGGCACACCCCAGCACATCCCTGACAAATGAGCGTCATAAAGTTTCTTTCCTGAGGGTGGGGAGATATCTCAAGATATCCAGCAGTGAAGGAGCCCTCCACAATGGGCCTCTCTTTCAGCAGTACACACCCTTCTTTCTTACCCCCTAAATTTCCAAGGGCACTGAAGGAACATGGATCCCACACAACCTCTTTTCCTCACAGAGTCAGACACTCCTGCAAATACAAACCAGGCACCCCCGACCACTGAGGCCTTATCAAACTGATTGCCCCTATTTCGGGCACCCAGTTTCACAGAACTGGGTGCAAATAATAGGCTAAATTTCCCCTGCATTACTCCACAGCCCTGCTGGAAGCAAGATCTTCTTCCCCCAGCCCCAAGTTCCAAAACTGCAAGGGGAGAAAGCGAAAGCTGGAAGCGACTTACTGCGTGCGGGCAGGAGGGCGGGCGTGCTGGGCCTGGGCTGCCGCCACCGCCTTCTGGGCTGGTCCAGCTGCTCTAGGCTGGGAGAGCGCTCACCTATCTCTGCCCCCTTCCCCACCACAGCGAGCAGTTAAAGTGTCACTTAACATTCTGGAGAATGTGAAATATACCGCGCGGTGTCAACTCCCCAAAACCATAAAACTAACTTTATGGACCTCACGTGACTTTCTCGAGCCAGTGAGGGGTATCTGTCTGACTTCTCGGCGATTTTTACGATCTAACTTCGAGATAAAACCCCTATCCATTTGACATCTAAATGTCATAGCGACTTTTGGGATAGTTTGCTATCGACAAAGGGGGACAAAGTCAAGGGGTAAAGGGGAAGGAGGGCTCAGTAGAGCCTCCACGACCCTCCGCTGCCTCCTCACCAGCTCCCCCTCCCCCCAAGTCCTGTAAGAAGTTGGGCCAAGCTGGAAGGGATTGACCGGGTAAGTGTCCAGACATGACTTGCGCTCAGGGTGGAGGCTGACTTGGATGGAGGTCGACCGGGCCCTAGCCCTGGGCCAGTCCCTCTAGAGGGGGAACCAGGGGTCTTTCAGGAGGGACCCTAACTCCTAATCAAGAGGGAAGGTCAGTTGGATCCCTGAAGAGAAGGAGCCCTTGATAACTGTAGAGAAGGCTGAGGGTGAAAGGAAACCTTTGAAATGGAGCTGAGTTTTTTTTGTTGTTGTTTTTTTTTTTTTTTGCCTTAGTTGGTGGCAGAGTTGAATTGGGATTTGAAGCAGGGGCTGGGGAGCTGGGCTGTTCCCCACCACTTCCAAAAGGCCAGGAGCCTCCTGCTTAGGGCTTAGGCCCAGATTGCTTTTCCTGGAGAGTTTTCCAGGGGCTTTCCTGACTAGTTGGTGGAAAGCCAGGATGGAGTCCAGCTTAGCTTTTCCCCTGCCCCAGCCCCACATGGGGTTTCTGGGCCTCTCAGTCCTCCAGGCATGAGGGCCTTTCCCCTGACCCAAGCACTGAAGACCAAGCCAGGGACTTAGGCGGCTCAGGGCGGCTGCTGGTGAGCATCCTACTTTCCCTTCCCTACACCCCAGATCTATGGGGAGAATGGTCTGGGGTGTGCCATGTGATGGCAGAGACAGACCCCTGGAGAAAAGACAAGTGGAAGGGCAGTGGAGTGGGGGAAACATTTATTTGACTTCAAGGAAAGCTACAAACAAATACCAAAAGGGAATCACTGAGACAGGCTGGGCAAAGACAGATTTCACACATAGCACAGTATCCACTCGCTCACTACAAATGGTCTTGGAAGCGAAATGGGTAGGGAGGGAGAGATGGGTCCGACCCAGACTATCCCCATATTTACAAGCTTTGGGCCCCGTAGCCAGACCCACGGATTCACAGAGAAATACACAAGACATTGTACACTGAGGATTATTTTTGTTTCTGTACACTCCCAGACCAGGCCTTGTGGGGCCTACCCAGGCAGCAGGAACTTAAATCTCACTACTTTCCTTCCCTCTTCTCAACATCATCCCTGTGGTCCCTCCCTGACCCTTTCCCACTCCAGGACCAAGCCACTGGGAGACTTGGGCCTGGGGAGTGGCGAGGGCGGGGGAGGAGGGTGAACAGAGACACAGTCATGGACTGCACGGCGGCGGAGGCCAGCGCAGCTGGGCCCCGTGCTGCGGCACTGCCTCACCTCAACTGCTGCCCCTGAGAGAAGTTTCAGGCTGGAACGCAAAATACAGTGGTCATCCTTTTATAAATAAGTTAGAACACAGATGGGGAGGGGACAGTTCACATTACACATGCGAATTTCTTTTTTTTCCTGGGGGAAGGAGTGCAACCACGGACACGAACATTCAGAAACACTGGCAGATTTGGGGGCGAGCGGAGGAGAGTGGGGAGCATGGAGGGAAAATAATAATAATTATTATTATTAACAATAATAACAAGATAACCAGTCCAGGAGAGAGGGAGCCACAGGAAGACCTAAGACCAAACGAAAACCGTAACACAGGGCCGGGGCGAGGCAGGCTCGTAGGAACCGGTCCCTAGCGGGCGGCGGCAGCTCAGGGAGGACTGGAGGGGCCAGGGCTGGGGGTGGCGCTGGCTCTAGGGCCGCCAGGGTCTCCTCCAGGGCGGGCTCAGGGCTGGAAGGCGCTGCCGGCTGTAGCCAGGCTCATGCTTTTCAGTTTGTTGTCTTTCTTCCACTTCATGCGCCGGTTCTGGAACCAGATCTTGATCTGGCGCTCGGACAGGCAGAGCGCGTGGGCGATCTCGATGCGCCGCCGCCGGGTCAGGTAGCGGTTGAAGTGAAACTCCTTCTCCAGCTCCAGGGTCTGGTAGCGGGTGTAGGCGGTCCGAGCCCTTTTGCCGTCCGGCCCGGTCATATCTAGAGTAGATGGAGTAGACCGCCAGGCAACGTTATTCCGGTTAAGGGAGGGGGCGATGGGTGGGAGGGGGAGGGGAGCAGGACCCAGGCGTCCCCGGCACCCAGCTCCCCGCAGCTTCTATCCTCCCTACTCCGGATGCCCGTATTATATCCGAGCTCGGTTCTGCACCCGCTTCTCCTGCAGCCCCCACTTCTGCGGGCGGCGAGTGCACCCGGCTTTGTCTCTTGCTCCCTCCCAGGGCCTCACCCTTGGCTGGGCTCAGGCCGCCGCTGGCCCCGGGAGGGAGCAGAGCGGCTGCACTTTTGCCCTAGAAAGCTCCGTTTACTGCTCATCCCTCCTTTGCTAGCGGCAGTCTCGAAATTTCAGGGGTGAGCAGGACCCTTCCCCACATTCCATAAACCCCATTCTTCATCCTAAAGCTGGTACGGCTGGGCGAAAAAAACCTAAGCCGAACCTGGGGACAAATTATTAAAAACACCCCCCCCCTCAGCTAAAGACCCTCTTTGGCTCTGTCCACAGAGCTGTGAGGACCCTCTTAGAGACTTCTTCCCCTTGGAAAAATAAATCTATATTTGAGGAAAAGCCAGGCTGTCCTTGTCTCCCCCCCCCCCACCCCAAATGCAGAGAAAGCAAGCCGAGAAGACAAAAAGAGAGAGAGGATTACCATGGCTGATGTGAAGCTTCCTCATCCAGGGGAATATCTGCGGAGTCTGCCCCTCGGGCGCGGCCGTGGAGGTGGCCATGGGCTCTGGCTGCGCCCGAGCGAGGCTGGGGCTGCTTAGCTGGCTCGCCGCTTCCTCAGGTTCCGAGGACGCGCTGGCCTCGTCTATTTCGGTGAAATTAGCGCTGGAGCTGGCCGGGGTCGCCTGGTCCGAGGGGGACGAAGCAGAGGGCTTGGCGCCGTGGCTGTCGCCGTTGGTGCAGGGCAGGGACTCGGGCGAGGACAGGGAGCAGCTCGACGCCGCTTGCCTGAAGCGGGGCTCCTGGGCGGGCGCGGGGAAGGCGCGCGAGCTCTCGCCCACCGCCCCAAAGTGGCTGGAGGAGGCCGAGGAGCGGTTGACGCTGAGGTCCATCCCATTGTAATTGTAGCCGTAAGAGCCGGTGTGCATGGCAGCGGGATCCCTGTAAGAGCCGCTCAGAGAGCTGCCACTGCCATAATTTAGCAACTGATAGTCCGGGCCATTTGGATAACGCCCCGAGAAGGAGTTTACAAAGTACGAGCTCATTTGGGTGATTTTGGAGGGCTTGATTTGTGGATCGTGGTCGTTATAACCCTGTGCTTCACGATTTATGATGTATTAATGAATTATAGCGATGCACTGTACTTCGTTTTGCTATGTATGCGGCCAAATATGGGGGGGGTTGGCAGGGGGGATGGGGGGGCGTTAGGGAATCACGTGCTTTTGTTGACCAGTCGTAAATTCTCGCTGATGACCTCAAGAGGTAATTCATGCTCTATGGTTACAAATAATGACGATCTGAGAATCGTTAGGGCCGATTCAATGCGAGCCTCCGAGAGAGGGGGAAGAAGGAGAAGGGGGAGAAACAGGGAGAAGGTTGGCGTTGGCCTCTGAGCAGAGCGCGCCACCTCCCGGCGATCGGCGGGGGCGCGGGCCGTCCACCGCCATGGCGGCCGCGGCTGCCTCTGCCGGTTCCACGCAACCGCCCCGGCGAGAAAGAAGCCCCGACCGAGGCTCACCCGCACTGAGCCTCTCAGCCGAGGGGGCTGAGCCTTTTAGCCGTTTTCTCGAGGGTGGGGTTAGTCTCTCTATTTGTGTCCTTCTCCCTGTCATTGTTACTATTGTTACTATTCTTATTTTAACTCTGGATGAGATTATCAAAGATCGAGCTGCTTTTCCCCTACTCAAGCTTTGCAAGTCTCCGAGCTGGGGGCGGAAATGGGGGGAAGGGTTGGAAGTTGTGTGTGAAAAACAATTATTGCAACGGGTTTTCCCGAGAGCTCAGCCGGGCCTGCTTCCTGGCGGGGCGGCGGCGGCGGCTCGCAGCACCCAGGCCGAGTCGGCAGGGCTGGGCCCGAGGCTTGGAGAAGACGCAGGAAAAGCTTTCACGTCTCCTGGGCCCCTGCGAAGTTGGAAATCCTCTTCCTGACCTCCTCCTCGTTCTTAGCCCAGGTCGGGGGATGGCAGGACAGAACGGGGACCCCGGTGGATGAGTACTGCCCGGGCTAAGCGGCCTAGTTGCAGAAAAGACTGGCGGCCACCACGTCCGTCTTGGGTTTGAGTGGTAACATGTGCCCGCAAGCGGGGTGTTAAAGCGGGACCCCCTCGCCTCCTTGCCAGAGGGAGGCTATTGCATTCGGAAGCCCCACGCGAGGCCCCTCGCTGGCGGCTGGGCAATTTGAGAATTCGCCCAGCGGCCCACCGCGTTCCCTGGGAAGGGGTTCCGAGGACCGGCGGCGCCTTGCTGAGAGCGCTGGGCGGCCAGAGACCTCCGCAGCTGGGCCCCTTCTGCCAGGCAGCTATTTTCTTTAAAAATAAAAAAGAGAGAGGGAGGGAGGAGGAAGAAAGGAAAACAGTGTCCGCAGCCTGCAAGCCTGAGTGAGGGTGGGGGTGGCGAGAGAATGGCCCATTTCGGGTTGAGAAGATGAGACCAAATGCCCCATCACCTGGCCTCCTGCCCTCCGGTCTCCAAGAAACAAGGGAAAGTCGTGCTCCTGGCTGTGCGCCTGCCTGCGGCTTCACATTCCCCTACTTGTCGCTGGTGCTTGCTTAAGGTGGGAAGGGGCGCCTGGAGCCTTCAGCTGCAGGGTGGAGAGATACCCAGTGGCCCCCATTTTTCAGTCTATGGAACCATATAGGCCTGGAACCGAGGGCTAAGGCCGGTGGAGACTGGACCATGTGGGCGGGCCAAAGGGGTCTCCCCAAGCCTGAGCACAGAAAAAACGCTGCCGAGGTGCCCTGACCCACTGGGCTCGATCTCTGCAGAAGCTCGGGGCTGGGGGCCTCCGTGGCATCCCTCGTGCCACTGACAAACGAGGAAAGGCTAGAGAGTACGAGGGAAACAGTCCCTCTTTGTCCCCCAAGTCTGCACCGGCAGAGATGGTTGTGAGCCTCAGCGACGGTGAGGCGCAGCGCTGGGGCCTGGGCGAAACCGATGGCTCCAGCCTCTATCTCAGCTGTAACATCCGAGTTGAGTCCGGGCCGCTGGGGAGGCCCTGGGGCGGACCAGGGCTTTCGCCTTTGCTGCAGAGTTAAGGCTCAATGACTATGGGGTGGCTGGGGGAGCTGGGGGGCAGGGGAGGAAAACTGCCAGGGGGGAATCATCGGAGGTGACTGAGCGGCGAGTTTTCAAGTCTTTATTATTATTATTATTATTATCATCATCATCATCATTAATAATATTAATATTATTACTGAAGTATTTCACGTCCAGAGCTAAGACAAGACTACAAACACAACACATAGAAAATTAATAAAATAGAACTTTGTTTTCTTCTGAGGCTCCTCTTCTTCTAGGTAGTATGTGCTCCTTCCAGTGGCTTTGGGGAGGGGGTGGGAGAGACGACAGGTCTGGGGTCAGGGAGTCTTCGAGGTCCCCACTGAGGGGACAGCGAATCTACCATTGAACCGTGCACGGGGGTACATGGACGAAATGAGACGCGAGACGGGCAAGAGCATTTTGCTCTGCCTCCAGGAGACATCAAGTGAGTCCGATCCTCAGTTCTCACCGGGGAGCCTGACCCGGCCAAGGCAGGTTCCTCGGGGAGGGAGGGCGCGCGGGGTGCCGAGTGAGCTGGGGCGACGCAGCCTCCGAGCAGCCGGCGAGAGCTCTGCGGGCGGGGGCGTCCAGGAGAGCGCTGGGCCCCGCCTGTCGTGCGCCGGGGAGCAGGTCCCCGGGCTCCCCCGCCCTCAGAGGCTTCTCGGGGCTCTCCGACGCCCTCGGCTCCCCACTGGCCTCTCCCTTCGCGTCCCCCCTCCTTTTCCAGCACCTTCACTCGGCTGGTTTTTCTTCCTCCTCCTCGGGACTGAGCTGAGACGCGCTGAGCAGTTTGCTCTCCTTTTTCCACTTCATGCGCCGGTTCTGGAACCAGATCTTGATCTGGCGCTCGGTCAGGCACAGGGCGTGGGCGATCTCGATGCGCCGCCGCCGGGTCAGGTAGCGGTTGTAGTGAAACTCCTTCTCCAGCTCCAGCGTCTGGTAGCGCGTGTAGGTCTGGCGGCCTCGCCGGCCACTGGGCCCAAAGGAGGAACCTGTTAACGCAGAGAGGAGAGGCTGAGGCCCGGGGTCACAGGGCCCAGGCCCCCTCCCCCATTCGACCCTCAAGCACGGACTCCAGCCTGTCGGGGATGACCTCCCCTCTCCCCGTTCTCTGTCCTCCTCCCACACCCCTCCAGCGCCCCCTCCAGAGGCCCTCCCCGTCTCCCAGGCCTGTGCCTTCGGTCTAGACTCTTGGTGGGGGAGGGGACGAGCAGTTTGAACTTCCACCTGAGCCAAGGGGGAGGGGCTGGCCAGGTGCGTCTCTTCCGAGCTACATCGTTTTATCCCTCCCTTTTCATCCATCTAGCTCCCCCCTCCCCCGCCCACCCAATGACAGATTCCGGCCCTTAATCCGTAATGACATGGATCGATTCATAGTCCGCATTAACGGCTCCTCACTTTCGTGTCCCGCTAATGGACATCGGTTGGGACTTAAGGCCGACAAATAATCCAACCTGAGACCCAGGCGCCTGTTTCTCTCTCTCTCCTCCTCCCTCTCTCTTTCTCTATTTTATTCTCCCCCCCCCCCCGGGCTCTGACTACCACCCCTTTCCCGGTGCCTCATCTCTCCCCAGCCCCCTACTCCCAGGGAACGGTCCTGGTCAGACTAAACTTTCCCTCGCCGGCGTCACGCCCCCCCTCCTTTCATGACGCACTCTGTTTTTAATGGTGCCTTCTGCGTGGGGGACCCAACCATGGCTGGGGGCGCAAAGGAAAGCAAAGCCGGTGACTGCGGCCCCTGTCCCCTTCCCTGCCAGGCCATCCCGGCTCTGGCTGACGCTCCAGGAGAGCCCACTCCCTCCCTCCCCCTGGCTCCCAGGGCAGCTGGGACTTTGCAAACTTTGCAACTCCCGCGGACGAGAGCACAGAGAGGGAGACCCCGTGCGGGCGCCCAACCTCCCCTATGTCCTAACTGAGATGCCCACCCAGCAGCTGGTGGGAAAGTGGGGGGAGCGCTCGCTAGCTCTGTCTCCCTCCCGGGGCGGGGACCCGCAGGGGTCGGGGCGACGCGGTCGGGAAGTCTCACTCACTGTTGCACGAATTCATCCGCTGCATCCAGGGGTAGACCGGGGTGGAGCACTTCTGCTCCTCCGTGTCGCCGAACACGCTCTTGTCCTGCGCGCAGTCAGACTTCCGCGGCTCCGGGTGGAACGGGGGCGGCTCGTCGGCGCCCGAGAGCGCGCAGGCCGACTCCTTCTCGCGGTAGAAGGCGGGCGCCGGCCCGTAGTCGCAGGGCGCCGCTCGGCCGTAGCCACCGCCGGCCGGCGGGTAATAGGAGGAAGTGGCAAAGCCCTTGTCCTGGCCGGGCCCCGGCCCGTAGGGCGCGGGGTAGTGCCGCAGCGGGTCCGCATAGCCCGACGAGTAGAGCGGTAGCTGGCCCAGGAAGGACTCCTGCCCGCTGGCCAGAGTGACGGGGAAGGTGGAGTTCACGAAATAGGAACTCATTGGGAGGGGAGGCGCGCGGCCGCTGCTGCTCCGCCGGCTTTATGATTTGTTGTGTTTTATAGTCCGAGCGCCGCGCCTATTAGTAGTATATCCGAGATTGGGTTTTAGCTGAGGGGGGATGGCGAGGTGCCAGTGAGGGCCAGAAGGAAATACAACCATCTGATCCAACACTGACCAATGGCAGAGGCAGGAATTGTCAAACAGCACCCAGGAGGAGCGCAGCCCGCACGAGGGACCCGCGCACAAACCTATCAACCTTTTTTTTTCCCCTCCTTCTCCTTCTTTCTCTCTCTCTCTCCCCGACAACACAAGGCGTCCTGTTCCACCTACGTAGGACCTGCGGAAGAGGCGTCTGTGCCTTTGAGGGAGGAGGGAGCATTTGGATGGAGACCACCCCATCCCCCAGCGATTAAATGAATATGTCCTCCCCCCCCACACACACACACACCCCACGCAGGATAAGAAAAAGTTAATTGTGTTTTTCGAAAAGTTAACCCCTGCCTTGCTTGGGCCGTTCCTTCAAGGGAAGAGTGCGTAAACGTCCTGGAATCTTGTTGAGAGAGAACTAAAAGAGATGGTTTGTTTATGGGGTTTTGTGTTGGTAGAAGGTAAGAGTTCTCCGCCAATTCGCAGCGTTTCAGAAAGAGGCGAAGAAGAAACACCCTCCTTTCCCAGGTTTTGAAAATCGTTTTTCTGCTTTATCAGATCTGCTCCCTCTCCTCCAAGCCTGGCTTTATTATTCCTGCTTTTCCACAACTCTTATGGTCTGACGGGGCAGGCCAGATCCCACCGCCTAAAAGACCCAGAAGGGGAAATGGCATAAAGGTCTGAGTCCGAAATTCCCCCTCTGGCTCTGCAGCTAGGCTAGGAGCTTCTTGGAAGGCTGAGGCTGCTGCGGCTGCTGCCCAAGACATCTTGCCTCGTTCTCCTATGCAGCCACTAACTCTTGGAAGGGAAGGGGCACTGGGGAAAGGGACTAGCCCTCTCCCCACTTGGGGATATGGAGTGGAGGAGTGAGGGGTATCCCCCAGCCTAGATGCCTTTATTTG